CAGCGCCGGCCGCCCCCGTTCGAGGTTGGCCCCGGCCTGGGCGCGACCCGACCGGGCGTCTGGCTGCATTTGCGGCTCGCGTCCAGAGACTTCGCTGTGCCCAAAAAGCGAGCCATTCTCGATGTCGAGTCCCGAAAGCGGGGCTATCCATTTTCATCGCCCCGGCGCCCCCCCCCCGATACTTGACCAGATTGCTGGACACTTCTATGGGCGCCCGTGGCGCAGAGGCCAGGCACGAGGACGCTGGCACAGTGGCGCGCCCGGGGTGCAGGACCCCAGCCCGCTGGGTTGCACCTCCGAGGCAGAGAACCCTCGCATGCCGGGGCAGGGGGGCATTGGCGATTATGGGCAACACGCAGACCTACGACTGTTCTCCGCGCGGGCGCGCACCGACACACGGGGCGCCCTCGCCAAGGCACTGGCATAAAAAAAGAAAAAAAGAGGCAGGGCACACCACAGGGGCCGAGGGCGTTTTTGAATTGCCCCAGGAGGCAGCCGTTTCTCAAGGCGACACAGTAACGGCCGCCTGAATAATCACATGCCCGCACGTGCCGAAGGAGATCAGATGCCTCTTGACATTTTCAAGGCGGCAGACGTGCATGTACAAGGGGAAACCGAGGGGCGGGGGGCGGGGGCGGGGGGGGGAGGCTGCCCGCCGCCAGCCGATCAGCAACCAGGGCGACCCCCTTTTTTTTCTTCTTCTTCTTTCGCCAGCCCAGATAGGTCCCGCCGCCGCGGCCGCCGCCGCCGCCGGCCCATCCACACAGCAGGGCTCCGGTGTGTGTGTGCCTGTCCGCCCCTTTTGAGACAGTTGTTTCTCCTATTCTTCCGGTAGGAACAGGCTACGGGATTGTTGTCATTTCCCTTCCTGTTTGTCTCAGGGGGCGGGGGGGGGGGGTCGCCGGCTGGCGATCTCGCCACATCCCCGGCGCAGCAGGTCAGAGGGCGGCGGACGGAGCTCCCTCTGGCGGCTGCCCCCCCTGCTTCCTGGTGGTAGTTTGGATCGCGCTGCCCCTCGTGTCAGGTCAGGCCCCAGCCGGCCCGAGGTCAGGTCGATCGATCGCGGGCGATCGGCTAGTTCGCCCTGTCCCCGCCCCCCCGGATTTCGGAGCTGCCCACCTGTCTGCGGTAAGGCCCGGGGCAAGGGCCCAAGAGCGCCCACACAGTGTGCGGGGCCCAGTCCATCCCCGGACAGAAGCCCTCCCTTTCTCCATCTCTCCCGACCGCTCCCTGCACTTCCTTCGGCCCCTCCCCCCCTTCCCTCCCCCCCTCCGTCCCTCCCCTCCCTTTCCCTCTCTCCGTATTCCTCCGGTGCGGCCCTAGTTCATGATGCCTTTCGTGCCCCCTCGACCCCCGAAAACTCACCCTTCCTCCCCTCTCCCCGCTCTATCTCCCTTTGATTCTCCCTGAATTTCTGGCTCCTGCTCTCTTCCAGACACCATGACGAACTTCGAGTCAGAGCAGTTTTTCAAGCAGCTCAAGGACGGTGTTTCCGGCTTGCCGAGTGACGCCAAAGACCGCATCCTCAAACAGGTTTCTCCCTCCCCCCCCCTCTCTACCTCTCTACCTCTCTACCTCTCTACCTCTCTACCTCTCTACCTCTCTACCTCTCTACCTCTCTTTCGCCGTGAACATGCACTAAGCCGCCAATCCCCCCCCCCCTTCTCCCCCCATACCTTCCTTCCTCCCCTCGCTCCTCGCCTCTTGGCAGGTGAACGGCCTCTTCCAGTTTGACATCACCAACTCCGAGGGTGTGACCAAAATCTGGACGCTCGACCTCAAGGCCGGCACTGCCACCGCCGGGTCCCTGGTCGAGGGGCCAATTTCTGGCCGCCGGCCAGACGTGATCCTTAAGATGACCGATGAGAACTTTGCAAAGATGGCCCGTGGCGAGCTCAATGGTGCCTTACTCCTGCTCACCTTCTGCTCCCCAGCATGCCTATCGTCTGCCACATGACTCTCTCTCTCCCTCCCTCTCTCTCTCTCTCTCTCTCTTTCTTTCCTTCGCTGTCCTGACACTCCACACACCACTACACCGCATTCGCTCATGCGCGCCTCTCATGTCCACAGGGCAGAAGGCTTTCATGGCCGGGCAGCTGAAGGTCCGTGGCAAGATTGTCCTCGCCACCAAACTCGACACCATCCTCAAGACCGTCCGGGCTGCCGCCTAAGGTGTCACTCCCCTTCCTTTGCAAAAAGCATGGCCGCTGAGATGGCCCTTCGGCCCAGGAGACCGTCTCTTCCGGATAACTATACCAGCTCCCATGAATGCCCCCTCCTCCTTTTGCATGGAGAATGTGTCGATCATCCATGCCCTCTCTGTGCCTCCCGATGCCCCTTCTGCTGGCGTCCCGAAAAGCATCCCGTCGACAGGGTCTCGTCCTGCCTCCCGGCCCCGCCACCTAAGCATCCTGGATGGGGGGCTCCTTCAACAATACATCTCGGCCCTGCGTGATCGTGCCCTGCCTCACCCGTCAGAGTGATACCCTCCCTCTGGCGACCCCGTGCCCGACAGGGTGGGTCTCTGCTCCGCAGAGAGGATGGCGGACGAAGGGGGCGGCCAAGCAGGGCGGGGGCGGGGGGGAGGAACGGGCCGGATCTCCAGACCTCCGGAGCGACCAACTGCCAACGGTCGAGCGGTTCTGCGGAATGACAATAGGCGCAGGGATAATTGCTTGCAGGCGGGAGGGGGTGGTGGCGGCCGGTGGCGGCGGTGGCCCAGGTGCGCTCCGGGCAGCGGGCCACCGGAGCGAGCAGGACAGACACATATATGCGGCACGCAAAATGTCCATCAAACATAGCCCTAACATGGGGGATGGCTCTGAGGCGCGGCACCGACCTCGGCGCCGGAACTGACCCGGCACAAAAACCAGCAGACTCGCCGGGCGGGTGGGTGCACTCGGCCGGAGCGGCAAGGCATGTCCAAGCATCATAATCCGGTAGAATTCTCTTCCGCAATGAGGGAGTTGGTATTTGCCCTAGCACCATGGTGTTTCCTCGTGCGCGTCCCCGCCGGTGAGGGTGTCGGGGGGTGGCGTGTGCGCGCGCGCGCGTTTGGGTGGAGGTCGTTTTTTCCCCCAGCGGCCCTGCGGCGTTCCACTTCCTCCTTTTAAGCCCTCGGGCCACGCCGCGATTCTTGGGGTCGCGCGTCCTTCGCTCGCCGTTGTGGGGCACCACAGGTGGAGGAGCGTGGGGGGATGCTGCTCGAGAGGGGTAGTTTCCCACCGGCCGCTTGCCAATCTACAAGTCGTGTGCGAGCGCACCCGCCTTTGGCCGCTCCGGCCGACGGCCGCAATGTCGTACGGTGGTTCCAGCCGCGCTGCCGCCGTGTGGCTTCCAGCACCCGCACGATCGCCGAGTCCGGTCGCACTCTCATGAGAAGTGTGGACACGGACGCGCTTCTGTGTGTGTGTGTGTGTGTGTGTGTGTGTGCGCGCGCGCGCACGCCCACGCTCGTGCACACTGCTCCGCGCATTTGAAGGACACTGGGCTGCCCTCGATCACCGGACGGCCTCCGCTATATGCGGTCTTTGCCATCGCGCTTCATCCCTCTCTCCCCTCTGCCCCTTGCTCCGCGCGACCGCGCTCTGGCCTTTTCTTTCCTCTCCCTCCCCCTCCCTCTCTTCTCTCGCCGCCCTTCCTTCGCCCGCTGCCGCTGTCCATTTCGAACCATGTTTAGCTCCCAGCAAGAGCAGCCAAAGGATGAGCGTGCGTCCAGGGCCTTCCCTGCCATTGTCCCCGCGTCCTTCTCCTCCTTCGGCCTCCCTTCCCCCC